TTCCTTATTCACTGTCCAGCTTTCACATGCATATGAGGTTATTGAAAATACCATGGCTTGGGTCAGGCACACCTTAGTCCTCAAACTGACATTTTTGCTCTTGAGAATGGCTAGAGGATAGACACAGTGTAACATGAGTGACAGACCAGGCAATATAGGACAAAGGAAGGTTAGCAGAGGGAAGATGAAGGTATTGGAAGACACAGGAAGGAATGCAATAGTTAAAGTGAATAGAGGTAAACGCTGTTAACTGTTGGTACATGGAGAGAATTGCAATCATTGTAATGAAGCAAAGTATATGATTTGTTGAATGATCTGCTCTATAAACTTTCACTCAATTCATAATAAAAAGTTAAAAAAAAAAAGAGAGAGAGAGAGAGAAGAAGACAATGGAATGACACATAAAACTCTTGAAAGAAAAAAAATGGCCAACCAAGAATCATATATCCAGAAAAATTGTCCATCAAATATGATGGTTGAAATTAGGTCATTTTCAGACAAACAAATGAAAAGAATTTGTAAAAACCAGACCAATCTTTTCTTTTAACTTTTTATTGTGAATGGAGTGAAGGTTTACAGGATAGATCATCAGTTTTTACTTTCAATAAAATCATATACTTTGCTTCATTACATGGTTGCAATCCTATCCATGTACCAACAGTTAACAGTATTTACCTGCTATTACCCATGTTAACATGTGTCTAAACTCTAGCCCACGAGTAATTTTCCTATCCCCTCCCCGTAACCATCATAGATGGTTTCATTTATCAAGAAAACCATTTAAAAAATGTTTTATAACATTGGTCTCACACAATGTTTGTCTTTTTGTGACTGACTAAGGTGGAGGGTCAGAGAAGAAGAGGAAGACCCCCAACGAGATGGATTGGCCAGTGCCAGCATCGATGGACTCAAGCATGGCAACAATAGTGAGGTTGGCCCAGGATCGGGCAGTATTTCCTTCTGCTGTGCATAGGGTCACTATGAGTCAGTACTGACTCAATGGCACCTAACAACAACAACAAATTTCACTCAGCATAATGTCCTTAATGGTTCATCCATGTTGTGAGATGATTCATAGATTCATCATTATTCTGCAATGTTTTGTATATTCCATTGTGTGTATGTACCAAACTCTGTTTAACCATTCTTCTGTTGATGGGCATTTAGGCTGTTCCATATTTTGATATGCCGCTTGTAGACAGCACATTGAAGTATACTGTTTTCTGATCTATTCTGCTCTTTATGCCTATTGATTGGTACATTTAATCCATTTACATTCAGTGTAATTATCAATAGTTCTGAATTGATTGTTGTCATTTTTCTGTTTTTATGGTGCTGCTGGATTCTTTGTTCCACATAATTTTATAATGCTGAGTTCATTTTGTTTGTGAGTTTTCATTTTCATTTCTGTTGTGTTAATGTTTACTAAATCTTTTTGATTCTCCTCTTTTTAAATTTTGATGTGTAGGTGTATTATTTTTCTTTGAGGTACCCTGTAATTTATTAAAAAGTTTCCCTTGCTTAAAACAGTCTGTTTTATCTTGAAATCTACTTGACTTCCTTGCCATTTAGAGTTCTGCATCAACAGTATTTCCTCTTTTTACTTTGTAGTTGATTTCATTATACATTAATATATCTGGTTCCCCATTTTTAGTCTTGTAGATTTTTTTTACTTTAAATATTCTATGTCTGGATTGAGTTCTGGGTGGTGTTGTCATGAATGGTAATCTCAGGTTGTTGTCTGCTGTTGTTGGTCAGTCCAAAGAACACCATTAGCATTTTTTGCAAAGTTGGTCTGGGCATCACAAATTCTTTTAATTTCTGTTTATTAGGAAATGTTCTAATTTCATCATTGAATTTAAGGGACAGCTTTGCTGGTATATGATTCTTGGTTGGCAACCTTTTTTTTTTTTTCCATAGCTTTATATATGTCATTAAGGAGCTCTGGTAATGTACTGGTTACTAGTTGGGCTGCTAACCTCAAGGTCAGCAGTTCAAAACTATCAGCGGTTCCACAGGAGAAAGATGAGGCTCTCTGCTCCCATAAAGATTGACAGCCTCAGAAACCCTGTACAGAATCACTATGGGTTGGAACTGACTTGACAGCACTTAACAACAACAACAACAACATATATGTCATTCCATTGCCTTCTTGCCTGCATGGTTTCTGTTGAGAAATCAGAGCTTAGTCTTTATTAGTTCTCCTTGGTAGGGTAACTTTTTGTTTTTCCCACCTGAGCTGCTCTCAGACTTCTTTCCTTGTTTTTGATATTGGAAAATTTGATTATGATAGATCTTGGTGACATTCTTTTGGGATCTGTCTTGTTTGGGATTCATTCAGCTTCTTGTATGCTTATCTTCTCGTCTCTCATGATGTTAGGGACATTTTCTTCCAACGACCAACAATTTTCTCTGTACTTCTCTCTTCCTATACTGGAATTCTGAACACCTGTAAGTTGGACCTCTTCATGGTGTCCCACAGAACTCTTTGGTTTACTTGGGATTTTTTTCTTTTTTTTTTTTAATGATTGTACTTCTAGCATGTTAGTATTGAGAGATTCATATGTGAGGGGGCTTCAAAAAAGTTGGTGGAAACATGGACTTGAAAAATAAAGGAATTTTTCTCACAACTTTTTGAAGCCCCCTTGTACATGTTTGGCCATGCTGAGTATATATTTATATATGCAGCAGATAAGGGGCACAGCTATGGAGGCCTAGATATACCCATCCAGCTATCTTGTGGGATTGGTTTGCTGGGTTAAAGAGTTTGGGACTATAATTTCATAGGATAACTCAGTCAACGGGCACAGTTCATAAAGATAATGCTCTACATTCTAGATTGGTAGATAGTGTCTGGGTCTTATAAGCTTGTGAGCAGTTTATACTACGATACAAGTATGGGTCTCTTCCCATCAGGAACAAAAGCCAGTGAAGGAAACCAAAGACTTAAGGAAGAAGCAAGTATACAGGACTAATAGCCCACACAAACCCTGGCCTCATCTTGCCTAAAACCAGAAGAACTAGATGGTGCCTGGCCATCACTTGTTCTTAAGTGCCGTTGAGTCTGTTCCAATCCAAAGCGACCCTGTGTAGGGTTTCTGAGGAGCAGCTAGTGCACTTGAAAAGCTGACCTTGCAATTCAAACATGTTTTGCACTCTAATGCATTAACCCACAGTGCCACACCAGGACTCTCAGGGACATAACAGAGGTCCTGGACAGAATGAGAGAAAAATGTCAAACAAAATTCAAACTAAAAAAGACCAAATGTACTGAACTGATAGAGACTAGAGGGCCCACTGAGACTATATTGCCTCTAAATATCCTTTTAACTTAGAACTGAAGTCACTCCTAGAGGTTTCTGGAAAAGCTAAAAAAAAAAAAAAAAAAAAAAAAATAGATTGGCTTATACAATACTACCCAAAATGAAGGCAATTCCTTAAATAATCAACAATATGAGATCAAATGGTCAACATTTACCCAATCATAAAGATGAGGAGACAAGGAGGAGCAGAGAAGCTAGATCAATGGAAACAGACCCAACAGAATGGAGACAATGAGAATGTTGATACATTGCAAAAACTGGTAGCCAAAGTCATGGAGCAATTTGTTTAAATTGCTAAATGGGAACCTAATTTGCTATGTAAACTTTCACCTAAAACACACAAAAACATTGTTTGTTTGTTTTTCCACAAAAAGCAGATTGCTGGGTGCCACCAATTAGCGAGAAGAGAATGAAGCCCACATACACCCAGGTGGTGCAGCTGTAGGTGCTTAAAAACCACACTGAAAAGTACAACCAAAACCCACCAAGGAGTTGGAAATTCCAGTTGCTCGGCATTCTAACTAGCTCTCCGAGACTGCATTTGGTACCCAGAAACGGCACAAGGTTCCCCTGTGAGATCCTGTGTCTGGAACCTCATAGCTCTATATGGGACAGTGGGGAGTCCATGAGCAAGCTGCAGAACCAGAAAGGAGTGGGGTAGAATCTCAGCTCCACCACCTTCTAGATGGTGACCTTGTGTGGCAGGCCTAACACCTGGGACTTGTGAAGGTTAGCTTGGGTACACAAGAAACTTTGCAGATGTGATTAAGTTAAAGACCTTGAGATAGTTAGATTATCCTGAATGACTTCAGTGAGCTCAATGTCATCACAAAACCGAAACAACCAAATCCACTGCCACTGAATTGATTACAACTCATAATGACCCTAAATAGGGGCTTTGCGAGACTATAAATCTGCCTGGGAGCAGACAGCCACATTTCTCTCTTGAAGAATGGCTGATAGATTTGAACTGTCAGCCTTGTGGTTAGCAATCAAGTGCTTATCCTTCAATGCCACCAGAGCTCCCTCGTATCATCATAAGGGTCCTTATAAGAGGGACACGAAGGGAGATCTGACCCATAAGAAGGCACTGTGACCATTGAAGCAAGGTGCTCTGCTGCTAACCTTGAAGATGGAAGAGCTGGCTGGGAGCCACAAGCCACGAAACAGATCCTGCCCCCAGTACATGACACACACCTTGACTTTGACCCAGCGAACGATTTTGGATTTCTGATCTCCAGAGCTGTAAGAGACTAGCTATTGCTGTGTTGCTTTAAGCCACCAGGTTTATGGTCATCTGTTGCTGTAGCCAAAGGAAAGAACACACTTTAGTTCAGCTCTTGCCGCTCTGTGACTCTCAGCCATCTGGGAAACGGGTCAAAGAGCCCACCTTCCAGGATTATTGTGGGGATGAAATGATATAATGTCTTCCAAGTGCTCAGCTCAATGTCTGGCACCTGGAGGACTGCCACACGGGGTTACCTGGTAGCAGGGCTCACAGAGGGGTCGCCCATCCTTCTGGTAGAAGCTCTGCCCAGCCAGCAGGCGGCGGCAGGTACGGCACGTGAAACACTGGGCATGGTACTGTTTCTTCATGGCCTCCACAGCCAACTCTCGGGGGGACACAGTCTTGTGGCAGAAGGCGCAGACATCTAAAATGGAGGAGACACAGATCATCGCCAGACCTGTCTGAGAAAACTGTGCCTAGTCACCACCAAGAATATCCACAGAGCCCAGAGCTCTGCTTCCAACCCCCAAATTAGTGAACGGGGGCCCCATTTCCTCATTTGATAAAGGAGGAGTCATGAAGGGCATTAAAAGGCAATGAGAAAAAATAGGTACATTTGACTTCATCAAAACTGAAAACTTTCCTCTGAGACCATCTTTTTTTAAAAGCTTTTATTGTGAGTTGAGTATTAGTTTACATGGGAGAACATTGGTTTTGCACTCATGATATCATATTTTGTTACACTGTAATGATTAGAATCTCCTCCATGCATCATTTTTTAACAGTATTTACTTCTATTGCCTCTGTTTTGTTTTGTTTGGGAGGGGGGTATACACAAAAACACTCAGGAAGATATAATCATTTAAACAACCAAAGGGCACAATCTGCAAGCCTGCCTCCTGAGATCATCTATAAACCTTAAACCAAAATATTCCCTGAAATTTTCTTAAAACCAAATAATAGTTTAACTGGTAAAGAATGTTTGCTTTGAGCAGTATGATCTTTTAAGAGCTATCCCTATGGAATTAAATTTACAACAGTAACTCAAAAGAATACTTAGGAACCTTAAGGGGCAGTGAGTTTATCTGAATGTTGTTGTTGTTGTTAAGTACCATTAAGTCGGGTTCCGACCCATAGCGACCCTGTATAGGGTTTCCGAGGAGCAGCTGGTGAGCTTGAACTGCCGACCTTGCAGTTCAAACGGCTTAGGGAGGAACAATTCAGAAAAGGAGGATGAAAATGGTTGCAGAATTTGAAGACGGAAACCAATGTCGCTGAATTATACATGTACAAACTGTTGAATGGTGTATGTTTTGCTGTGTATATTACCAACAACAACAAAGTAAAATACATTATAAAAATAAAAAAATAAAAAAATTTTCCACACCAAAGAATTTTATCAACAAAATGAACAGACAACCTACAGAGTGGGAGAATATTGGGGAACTACATGTTTGCCAAGAGTTTAATATGCAGAATATATAAAGAACCCCAACACTCTGTAACAAAAAAGATAAACAATCCAATCAAAGAACTTAAATAGACATTTCTCTAAAGAAGATATATAAATAGTCAGCAAGCACATGAAAAGACGCTCGATGTCATTAGTCATTAGGAAAATGCAAATCAAAACTGCACAGAGAAACCACCTCACTCCCACTACGATGGCTATTATCAGGAAAAATGGAACACAAGAAGTGGGAAGATTGTCAAATGGTAAAAACAGTTTGGCAGGTCCTCAAAAAACTGAACAGTGTTGTTGTGAGGTGCCCTCAGGTCATTTCTACTCATAGTGACCCCATGTGAGACAGCAGGACTGCTCTATGGGAGCTTCTAGCCTGTAATATTTATGGGAGGAGCTCTAGTAGCATAGTGGGTTATGAATTATGCTGCTAACTGCAAGGTCAGCAGTTCGAATCTATCAGTCGCTCTAAAAGAGAAAGATGAGGCTTTCTGTGCCAATAAAGACTTCTTGTTGTTGATAAGTGCCTTTGAGTTGGTTCCGACCCACAGCAACCCTGTATAGGGTTTCCAAGGAGCAACTGGTGGGTTTGAACCACTGACCTTGTGGTTCAAACTGACCTTGTGGTCCAATGCATTATCCTGCAGTGCCATACCTGGACTCGAAAAGGCTTCCAGCCTTGGAAACCTTATACAGGGTCATTATGAGTCAGAACTGACTCCATGGCACATAACCAACACAACCACTCCCAACACTCTTTAAGGGAGCAGAGCCTTTCTGCCATGGAAATAGGTAACTTGGAAATGGATAATTTTGATGGTTGCATAACATGAACACGACTAAAGACACTGAATTTTAACTGTAAAAATTGCCGAAATGGTTGATGGTTTGCGTATGTATTTACCATAATTCTGGAAGGAAAAACTAAAACAAAAGATAACTAAAGTTTTGATACATGCTACCACATGGATAAACCTTGAAAACATTATGCTGAGTGTCAAAGAAGGAAATATATAATCCCACTTAAATGAGGTATCTAGCATAGGCAAATGTATGTTAGTTGCTTAAGTAGGAAATAAACTCCTTAGCTTCTTAAGAGATGGCTTGGCCAGTTAAGGAGTTCAATATCTAGCTGTGAAAACAAGATGTACACATAACAGACCAAATAAAAGATTTTAAAGCTGACCCACCCACCCCACCACCCCTCCAAAATGAGAGGGGGCATATATGGATACTTGCTTATATACATATAAAAGGAAAAAGTTAAGGAAATACAAATAAAACTGACATCCAACTATAAAGTCTATCACTGTAATATGAGCTGGGCAGACACTACAGGTCCTGCTCTCCTGGTTCCCATCCGCAGACCACCCCAGAACCCTTCAGGACCATACCTGTGGATGTTTCTCTCTCAGGGACTCCAGTGGACTCTTCTGGAGGAGGTGGCAGCTCCTCTTCCAGGGGTCTGAGGTGACCAGGGTGGGGCTGAAATGGAAGCTCCTCAGCCAGAGTCTGAGAGATAAAGAGGTGGAGTCAAAAGAGAAATCATCCAATGGGGACGCTAAGCAGTCCTCTCAGGCCCACTCCTCATCGGGGTGGTACCAGACACCATTAGCCCCATTCAACAGAGGACGAAACCAAGGCCCAGAGAAGCAACTGACCAGCAGGAAGTTTACAGTGGACCCTTCAATCAAATGAATATTTCCTTCTACTTTTAAGGAATTTTCTACTGAGCCTTGGACTGAAGTAGATTCAGTCCTTGGCCTGGAACCCATGCCCTCTCTCTCTTCCCATTTCCACGATGGCCTCTAATAATGGTAGAGAATTAAAAGTGGATTTATTATGTAGTATGAGGGATTTAAGGAGCTCTGGTAGCCTAGTGGTTACAAATCGGGCTGCTAACCCCAAGGTCAGCAGTTTGAAACTACCAGCTGTTCCGTGGGAGAAAGATGAGGCTTTCTGCTCCTGTAAAGATTTACAGCCTCGGAAACTCTGTACAGGGTCGCTATGAATCAAAACCGACTCCATGGCACATAACCAACCAACCAACCAAATGAGAGACTTAGGCTAGATACTGGGAAATGTCTTCCTCAGAGCAAAAGGAGGTACCTGAGGGGGAAGTAGGTATGGCACCCCGTCCTCCATAACAAGAGGGGTGTTGAAAACCCAACCAACTCTTCCAGCTTGGAAGAGCTTCAAAGAGGGACTGTCCTTAAGCAGAATGGACCAAATGACCTCCAGGTTTATAATCCTCAGAAGATCTAGAGGCCCAAATCCCCCTTTGCCCAGCCCATGGTGCTCTGTCAAGGACTAAGGAATTGGCAGTACCTGTGGTGGGGGTGGGGGCGGGGGCAGGTGCAGCTGCTCTAAGTTCGCAGTGAGTGATAGCTCCATTGGGCCAAGGGGTTCCTCATCCGGAGGAGGCAGGTATACCGGCGGAGGTGGAGGAGGAGGTGGGAGGAGGTCCAGGTCAGTCAGTGAGTTCTCATTATCCGGGGTAGAAGAACACCCTGCAACCAGAAGGGGAGGGAAGGTTGGTCAAAGCTGTTGAAAATGAACAGAGGCATTTTCCATGTACCCAGAAGGCTGCATGGCATAATGGCTGAGGGCTCAAGTTTGAGGTCATCCAGACCTGGGTTCAATTTACTTGCTGTGTGTCCTTAGGCAAGAATCTCAGTTTGTCTAAATCTCAATCTACTCAGTTGGAAAATGGGTAGCAGTGGCCTAGGGTTATTGTGAGAGATAAGTGAGGTGATGCAGGATTGGCACAGTGAATGGCAGGCACATGGTAAGGCCTTGGAGTCCTTCATGCTAGTGCTCCCCTACAGGGAGCTAGAGTGTCTGAATCCCCTATTAGAGAGTCCTTGTTAAAATACAAACATAACCTCTAAGACCGAAACTCAAAGGGAACACATGAGTAGGCATATAAGCTTGCTGATGACCACAATGGTCTATCGGTGAATGGTAGAGGGGGAAAGGCAGCAATGAAGAAATGGGCTGAGTTCAACCACATTCCACAGACACCTGTTGACCTGGAGATGAGAGAGAGAAGAGGAAGGGCTAGTTGGTCCAAAGTGTGGTGAGACCCGGGGACACCTGAGCCCATGGTCAAGGACATAGCCACAGAGGGCTAGAGCTGAGAGTGAAGCATCCAGCTGATATGAAGTGAGCAGAGATGCACAAGAACACCCAAACTTGCAGATAGTACCTGATAAAGGAAATGAGGGTAGATTGCTACAATCTGATGAGCTTGACCTATAGTCATGGAGGTAGTAACTCTAAATATCAAGAGAGAGGGAAGGAGTCTTCACATCAAGTATCAATGCTATCCCCTCTGTACACAGGGTAGATAGGGACAGACAACTTAGATATTTGCTACCTAAAATGAGGGGGTGATAAAGGCACAAAGTGACTGGCTTACACGATTTCAAGAGGGAGTTTAGTTTTAAGAGTATGTAGGGGAAGAAAGAGTTCCCAGAGAATAGTTTTCATCTTGTCTAGATGGGTCTGGTTAAAAGAGATAAGGATAAGATTCTTATGGTTCAATAGTGAGTTAATAGTTATCATGACTAATTGCGACTGTCACAATTGTAAAGGCAGAAGTTTTGTAACAAAAACAGGGGAGTAATTAATCTTACAGTCCAGAAACAAAGGACCCTAGGACCAACAAGAGAGAAAAACCCAAGCGGAATGTGGGACCTTATCCAGAGAAGCAGCAACACCAGAGATGGAGGCAGAGATGGGAACATGGAAAGAGGGAGAAGCTGAGGTCTCTGGAATCATGGAAAGAGAGAGACTGAGAGCTAGCGGCCAGGAGGCAAGCTTGCAGAATGTGCCCTTTGGTGGTGTAAATTATTATACATGCTTGAGTGTTTAAAAAAAAAGAGCTAAAGAGACTAGAGACAAATACTGTTATCTGATGGTACATGGAGAGGAGGGGATTATAATCATTGTAATGAAACAAGGTGTATGATTTGTTGAATGATCTGGCTTGTAAACTTCCACTCAATTCACAATAAAAACTTAAAATCAAAACAAAACAAAAACATAACCAAGGCCCAAGCTTGGGGTTTCCAAAGTGGGTCTCAAGACCAGTAGCATCAGCACCATCTGGGAGCTTATTAAAAACCACCTTTTGTTTTTTATGGAGACAGTGTAATTGCCCAAAAATAAAATGGAATACTACACAACACTGAAGAAAAATAAATTTGCAAAACACTTCACAACCTGGAAGGACCTGGAGAACATTATGCTGAGTGAAATTTATCAATCAGAAAGGACAAATATCGTATGAGACCACTGTTGTAAAAAGTCAAGAAAAGGTTTTCATGCTAGAAGAAACGCTCTTTGATGGCTACTAGAGGTAAGATGGAAGGGAAAATTATTCACTGGCATGGTGGCTCTGTAGGATAAAAACTGGACTGCAAACCACAAGCTTGGCAGTTAGAGCCCACCAGCTACTCTGCAGGAAAGAGATGAGGCTTTCTGCTTCTGCAAAAAGGCACAGCCTAGGAAAATCTTTATAGGGTCCCTATGAGTCAGAACCAACTTAATAGTAATTAATAACAGCAACAGCAGAGGGTAGACCTGTGGTAACTAAGGTGATGGTGAAAGCAGTTAAAAAAAAATAGAGAAAAAAATTAAAGAAAAATCAAAGAAATACCTACAATAGGCAAATATATGGGATCTGAAGTTTCTTAGTGGTTACCAAGAGTCATTGCTTGGTGGGCACTGAGCTTCTGTTAAGGATGATGAAAAAATTGTTGTTGTTGAATGCTGTCAAGTCGATTCCGACCCATAGCAATCCTGTATAGGGTTTCCAAGGAGCAGCTGGTGAGTTTGAATCACCAACTTTGCAGTTCAAATGACTTTGCAGTCTGACACATTAGCCCACAGCGCCACACCAGGATGGGAAAATTGGGGGAAGAAAAATGATGACAGTTACACATTAAGATGAAAATAATTAATGTCATTTAAATGCACATGTAAAACATGTTAACATGGCATATTATTTTTTTGGTTACATAATACTCACATAGAAATCAAATTGACTACATCTGTGGAAAGAGAAGATGGAAAAGCTCCATATCATCAGTGAAGACAAGGCCAGGGGCAGACTGTGGAAGAGACCA